ATTGCCTAATGATATAAGTCAGTTCTTAGGAAAGAGCCATGCATTTAGGAGTTCATTTGCAATATAACTGAAAAATTCATTGCATGGCAGTAAAACAATTTACTGTTAATTACAAGGAGAAGAATTTGCTGTACCATGCTCACAGATTGCCATGAATCATGCAGCACTCCTAGAGATTTATAACAGATGTGTAAGTGGGATGAATTAGCAGGGTTTAATAACAGAGACACAAATCATGCAGACTTCAAGGAGCTTTAATTGATATACTAGAATGTGACGGGCATGAATCACTCAGCCATTCAACAGCACTGTAACATATGGTCAGCTCAATATGCTGCATCTTAAATCGGTTGGTGAGTCGTTGGTTGTCCCATATGGTGGAAGCAATATATTTTTCAGATTTTTTTTAAAAAACCCATTACATTGATTTTATAAAGAAATATGATTTTGTATGCTCATAATAAAGTGAACTCTTAAAGCTTGTTATGTTTATTTGAGGAATATTTTATGTACAGATTCTGAACACTGATTTTCCTGAATGGTATGAAAGAGGTGATTCAAGACATACTGTTTTGTATTGGAAATGGGTAGCTTGAATCCCGCTGTGTATAGGTATGCTGGCAGTATAACCAGTGCAGTTGCTGTCCCAAAGAGGACACCCTTGCCAGAGGGTGTCACCTGGCAGCAAACCCAGATGTTTCCACTCCTCTACCCACCAGTTGTCCAGTGGCCCTTTCTTTTCACTCATCCCTTTTCTTTCTCCTAAGGGACAAAAAATGGTATTCTAATGGAAGTGGTCAGAGACAAGCAGCTAGTGAGGGATGGGAAGACTCCATGGCAGGAGACTCAATTTCTTGACTAGGCAGTGTGATTAGCTACTGGATTTTGAGTTTTTTATTGCTTTAATCTTTTAAGGAACTGATGACAGCTACTTGTGGAACTGGTTTGTTGCTGCTTATTGTTGTTCTTTTTCTTCTTTATTTAATTTATTGTTACTGAATATGGTTTAATGAATTAAAAATTCCTTTTGATCATTATAAGCTATCCTATACTTTTTTGAAACTGAAGGTCAAATTGTTACAGCTTAAACAAATAAATGCAAGTTACTGTTGCCATTTGCCATTGTAGCCCATCAGATACAACTATCAAGTTCTCATAGGAAATTGCTTCTCAGACATTTCTTTTTCTCAAGATCCACCCCTATTCCACACAATTGGAAATGTTAATGATCTGCCTCACAAGGTTATTTTGAAACTGAATAGCAAAATGGTGTACTTTGCTTTGCTAACTTGTTAGTTATAATAAAAACATTCCTGGGATCTTATGCACTATAACATGTCCTAACAATAATTAAGATGCTAGAGTGATGAAAGTAAGTGAGTGACTTCCAGTTCAAGTCAATCAGCACAAGTGTCCAATTGCACATTTCCTTACAAACTGAAATTGTGCATTTCACAGGAGTTCTTTTTTTAAAATGGGCAATTCCTCAAGTAGCTCTTCAAAACATTAGGGTTCTAATTAAAGATGCAAAGCATAAATAAAACTGTACCCTTGTGACTCTCGTTCCAAGTGCTATCAGACCGTGTTGCTATTTAGGGTTTTAGTACAAGGAAAACCCAAGGAGCATACTGCAAGCTAAAGCCAAGAAAAACCCTGTATTAAACATACTACCTATATTTCATTGAGGGGTTCCTTCTAATATAAAAGCATGAAGGAGAAGTGGACCGGTTAAGGTTTTGTAACTGCAATGCAAATGCATTTTTATTAGCCTTAGAAACTGACAGGCTGTATAGGAAAGCTTCAGCAGCTGCATTAGTAAACCTGACAGATTTGCGAAAAGAATACACTATCCTTAGAAGCATGGCTGCCAGAATTTAATGTCAACAATTAAAATTTATTTTGATCCTCACCTAGTGTTTATTACTGTTTGTATACACAACAGACCTTACTAATACAGAGATGCACTATTAGATGGAATTACCATCTGTTCGCAGTGAAATGCTGGCATCTGTCTTAGCTTCTAAAACTAAAATGATATCGTTTCAAACAAAACAAAGTTAACTGCGCTTTACTCACCACCAATTATATTTTTCTTTCCTGTATGCAGATGTGTGTGCATGGGCACTTGTGTGTGCACACACACGTGCGCGCGCGCACACACACACACACACACAGACATGCACACAGAAGAAACTTTTTTTTTAGTTACCTGTGTAGCAACATCTATATGCAATACATCTTTAACACAAAATAGTATGGACCATCTGTTTCACTGGTTCTTCTAGTGCTCTCTGTTACACAGCAGAAACAAGAGTGTCTAAAATAACACTATAGCTTTAACATATATATGCTTTATGTTATCTAAGAAGAAATTTTTAAAACCTACATAATTAAAATATTTAAAACAGCTCAGCCTACTAAAATATAGTATGCTTTGACATGTGTTTTAACAGACTAGTGTAAAATTTAAATAGGAAAAAATATGGTGTATTCTTTTGACAAAGCTGCTACAGGTACTACTGTGACCTCTTTAGCAAGCTTATACTGCGGCTTTTAGTCCCTAGTAGCTTTATGGTAGAATTCAGTGATGTGGAGTCCTCCAAAGCAGATTTATGATCTGAAGTTTTCCAGTCTGAATTGTTGACTGAAATGCACCCGTTTCAGCAAGGACTCTTCGCTGGGTGTATCAGCACACACCAATTCTGAATCACTAAAGACATGGTAGTTACAATAATAATGTTACACCAAGATGTTACTTTCTGAAAGGTTGTGTTTCTGTTCCATATATCACAAAATAATAAATTGTGTCATGCTAGTGTTTAATGCATGTACACAGTGCATTAACTGAAACTGTAGTACATTTATTTGTGCTACAGTAGACTTCAAAATGATTAAAAAATCAATACTTTCCTGTCAGAGAAGCAAGTGTTACAATGCATTTAAGTAGTTAATTGCACAAGCCCCATAAAAGCTTCAGATTTGGGTAGCAAAGATGCTATAATTACAGTGCAGGCAACTCTCATTTATGAAGGGATGATTTCTATGAGAGATGTGATTGTTGTTGTCAGGAAGGGTTGGTTATGTGTATTCATTTCCAAAAGAATGAGTATTTCTGCTTTAGCAACTCTACACTGAACCAGGGGACTCAACCTCGGCACTCACATTTAAAATGCTGACATAGACTGATTTGCTCCAAAGGTGAAGTTCCCATTGTAAAGCCATGTTTTCTTTTGATACCTGTGCATTAATACCACATTTCATTAGTGCTCTGCTCTACTTATGCAAGGAAGGCTGGTGACCTCACGCTGCACTACTTCAATTTCGACACAGTAAATTTCAAACATAGCAGTATGATACTAATTAGATTGTGAAGTCATAAATGATGTCCAAGCAAGAATTTACAATGCACAGCACGGTTGGTGGGTTTTTGTCTCCCACCATTCCCTCTGCCAAAAGTAATATTTTATCATGTTGTAGGAAAAGTAATAGCAACATACTACAGGTTAATATGAAGAAGCAAAAGAAATGCTAATGGTCTTGCATGAAACAATGTTTAAGGTGTTGTTACTCATTTATTACAAAGATTTTTGCAGCAAAATCTTGCCACAACACTGCAAAGGAATTTTGGAGATGCATATGTTAATATTCTCAAAAAGAATGTTGTGCCTATAATCACAGGAAAACCTGTACTTGATCTATGCAACATACTTGCCTAATACAAAAGCACGGTCACATGATAGATTTACAAAGTAGTGTTTTCTTGGGGTACTGAGTGGGTAGAGTAATATTGTGATTGTGCAATAGCTGTATTGAAATTAACTTCATATTGTAGCTCCAATCATCTTGTCAGCAAGCGAGCTGCCCCAAGATACAAAAGCCTGAATTTTATTAATAAAGTTTGAAAGATGATTGCATAAACAATATAAGTGGTCTAGGACAGCTGATATATAGTTGATGTACTTCATTACGTTTAGTACAGATTTGTACACTCTAAGGGGGAAGAACAAAGGTCTTCCTGCTTAACAAGCTTGTCTATGCAATTTAGAATACTAGTCATAAAAACCCCATCGATGCATGATTTATAGATATGGCAGAACATCTCTGAGTAATAGTCATTCATAGGCATGATCCTTCCCTGCATACTTGCACTTCCCTGGACTGAGAGATCTCCACAAGGCTCAGCATTGCTCCGTTTCTTTGTTTCCTCATTGGTATTTAATTATTATCCTGTTCATGGGTAATGCTATGAACTAGTATAGGGAATGGATGAGCAGTTCATGTTACCCACCACCTATATGTTGATAGCACACCCTTGCTATGAACGACTTTGCACACATACCTGGCTACTTCTGGCACTTATCCCTCCAATTCATGCTGTATGAACCAGCTTGAAAGTTTGCCTCAATTCAAATTCAATTTTAAATTCAATTTACCTTGTGCTTTTTGAGACTTCACAAGATGGTGATATGCCATAGAGAAATTCCTCAACTCAAATGGAAGCTTTATTTCTCATTCTCAATATTCTTAATTATAATCTGCTAATTGTGCTGTATTTTTGTAGATAAGCTATGTTTAAATTCTGTACTAGTCTGTTTAAATTATGTACTATTGGTTATGTCCACTATACAACTCAAGCCTGGCAACTTGTAAGAGTGCATCGCTCCTTATAAGCCTGCCCAGGTTAACATCCTTGGGAGAGACATTTCTTTCTGCCTGCCATCATTGGAAAGATGTTTGCCTAGAATGTGATAGAGAGCTTCTCTTAGGCTCTTGAACTCCCTGTCAAGGAAAGCAAAGCTTGCTCTATCTTTATTGTCCTTCTTCCAACAAGCAAAGATATTTTTATTCAGTCAGACTTTGGGCTTTATCAATTAAATGAATATAAATAAATGAATAAATAGAAACATTCATCTTTCCTTTAGGACAATATACATAAAACTCCAAAATTTATTCTGTAATCTTTTTTTCTATTTTTCTTCTTCTGCTTTTTATATGAATAGCACCAGGAGGACTAATTGCCCCTTCTGCTGAAGGAGTAAACAGCACAGTAATAAAGATAAGTTGGGATGAACCTAAAGAACTTAATGGGCCTCCTCCAATCTATCAGCTGGAGAGAATGGATGCATCTTTAGCAACATCAAATGTAACTGTAATAAAAGGAATTCGTTTCCCAGGAAATGGATATTATAAATTTCCAAGTTCTATTCTGCCAGCAAATGCATATTTTACAGGTAAGGAGCCTGTGGTTGACACTGTTTACTGAAATGCCTCCTGTTTAGAGTGCAGAGTGATATTTAGGATGCTTGTGGAAATGACCTTTTCTCTGGAACAGCCATTCTTTTGCTGCTATTTACAATACTTCCATAAGACGATCCAAACTAAGATCTATCTAGTCCAGAGTTCAGTTCCTGCAGATGCCTAAATAGTTTCCTATGCAAGGCCATTAAGCAGAAAAGGAGTGCAAAACCATCCACCAGTCTTGTTCCCTTGCATCTGGCCTCCAGAAACGCGCTGGAGGTATTATGTAGATGCCATTATAGTCAGGTTTTCCCATTGTATTTTAGTATTTTCTGATTAAACCCCAGTATCATTCTGGGTTCTATTCAGACCTTATTGTTGCAAATTTTAATGATATGCCATTGTAATACTACCTGTACAAAGTGAATTCACTTTTTAGGGGTCAAATGTCATTTCATCCCTCCTTTTTGGGCATGAGAAGCCCAGGATACTATTCCAATCCACACTGGGGTCCTCTGAATGTTCCCTTGCTAGTTTATCTTCTCAATGGTAGGAGAAGGGCCTTCCTTTTAATTAGTCATTTTTTCACTTGTTTCAAATGGCAAATAGGAATCTAAATAGCAAAATGGTGATTAAAAAAAACAGAATGGGGGGAAATAGTGAGCGAAACAATAAGTAAAGCCTCCCTACCTGGTGGGAAGTGAAACTGGCCTTGGATTGAAACCATTTAGAGACCCCCATTCAGGGAGCCAACAGAGCCTATTAATCAATAATAACCTAGTCAGATCAATAGGAAAAGATAAGCATGGTCTGAGCTAACAAACAAAAGGCTCTCAATTAGAATTGGAAGTATCTTTTATCATTGCTACTTTTGAGTATGCATTGTACTCACATGAGGAGTATGTGCAAACCATGGGGAAGGGCACTGGTGAAAATGTCCTGGAACAAGTGGTACCTGCAACAGCGTGTGGCTATTGGGCATCCCCATCCTCTAACAATTGTGTTCCAATCAGCCAGCCATGCTGCCCTCCAAGACAGCATATGGGACTCAAGCAGACTCAGCCCCCATATTTGCATTAGTTCCCTTTTCCAATTGATGTGCAGAATTCACAGCTCATGGACCACTGAACACTGTAGTCCTTATTGGACTTGTTCGTATGCATGTGTTGCAGGGGGACAATTTGATTGTAAAAAAAAAAAAAAAAGGTTTTCTACCTCTGCAATAATGCGGGGTATTCGGAATATGTTGATTCTCTTGATTTTCTCTGTCTTCGCTTTGTCTCCAAGTGAGTTGGTACTAGGGATGTACAAATCTTGTTTAATCCATTCCATGTGTGCTTCACAAATTGTCAGCCACCTTTTGCTGAAGTGTCTGTTCATTGATGGAATTAGCTTCCCCTGCAACTTTGGCAAAGTATGCAAAAATTTCCACAACAATTTATGTAACTTATGGCTGCTATGCAATTTAAGAGGTTTGAGATATGCATAATGTGTGTCTCTGTGTGTGATTTTAAATGGATCCATAGTTATATATTTTCCAGTAACTTTTGTATGACTGAATCTGCATACTGAAAAGTAACAAAATGGTCTGCAAGTCTGTAACATTCATGTGACTCAAATAATGCATTCTTATTATTCTTATTATTACATAATGAGTCAAATTAATAGAACTCCAAAGTCATTTGAATTTGGTTTCAGATTTTTCTGACATCCCTAGTTGACTTTAGAGTGCCCGAGTTCATAATTAGAATAAATAATGTTGATATTAAATTAATTAATTAATTAATTAATTATTTTTTCAATTTATATCCTGCCTTTTTCCTACAAAGGGCTCAAGGCAGCTTACATCTCCTCTTCCATCTAATCACCACAACAACAACCCTGTGAGGTAGGTTGGGCTGAGAGTCTGTGACTGGCCCAAAGTCACCCAGTTGGCTCCATGGCTGAGCGGGAACTAGAACCCAGCTCGTCTGAGTCCCAGTCCCATGCTCTTAACCACTATACCACACTGACTCTCCTCACCACACAAATTATGTGTGGAGCATTGTTTTGAATTCCATTTTTATCCAGTTATTGAAGAGCACTGCTTCAGGTGTGCTGATTGTGGAATCATCTGTAGGTTGAAATTCTATGCATACTTACCTGAGAATAAGTTTCACTGAATAAAACATGAGTAAATATCCATAAGACTGGATAATAAATTACGCAAGAGCTACTGGATTTCAATGAAGTAGAAATGTTTATGATGTTAAAAATGATGCTTTGCAAGTGTGGGCAAATGGAAAATGACTCTATTGGGGGGCAATCAGAGTAAGCCTACTTTGCCTGACTGCTTGTCCCTTAACCTAGTGCAGCACGTAGCAACCAGGAAGGAACATCCAGACATGAATGCCCATGGCCCATGCACTGGCAACCCCATCCTGCTTGCACAGAACAAACGGACTAGCTGCAGGGTGCTGGAGCAAATGTGGCAGTGCAAATACTGCACTCTGCACACACAAGTACACAGCTATAGTACATAAGCAACTGTTGGAAGGGATCTCATCAGAGGACACAGCTCCCCCTGCACTTGTTCTAAAACCACCTCTGCAGGTCAGACTCTGGAATGACTAGTTTGGAAGAACAAAGTAGCAGCAAAGATCATTATTAGGGAAGCACATATTTAATCAATGCCATGTACAACCTTTAATACACTATGACTGAAAGCTGGGGGAATAGATGAAGTAGCTGGAATATTTTAAGGAAGTGTCTTCTGCATCTTGCTCCCTCTTATCCTGTAGAGCTGAGTTTGCACACCTGGCTCCTCCACCCCCCACCAGCTTCAGTGGACATGTGAATACTCGCATAGTGAGTGTTGACGCCTTGCAACAAGCATTCTGACCTGTGCTTTGCTCTCCTTTCATTGACAGTGACATGTCCCACTATGAACTATTGGCTGGCCTCAGTAAAGAAAGGATTGAGACCTCCCTTCATTTTTTCTTAGAACTTTTTTTGGCTAGAATTGTGGCCTTGCACTTAAAATGAATTCACATTTCCTTCTTGAACAAGACATTTCCTTTCTTCCTTCTTCCTAATCCCAAGAAGCCTAAAGATAGGGTGAGAGGGGAACTGGAAACACTTTGAAAAGGAGTGATCCAGCACAACAAAGTGAATTGTGCTTCTTTGTGACAAAACATCTTAAGACATTTTCTAATGTGCACAACAGGGACTTATGCTACAAATATGCCGAGCTGACCCTGACCAGGCTGTGTTACTGTGGTAATATTTTTTTTTTCTCTTAGACAGGAATGTTTTTGTTAAGGCACAGACATATTTTTTTTATCTGCATGAAACATTTGCTTTTTTCTATCTTCTCTTTTCATTGAAAAATTCAGATTTATTTAGGCTTTTGTATAAAATACCTACGATTCCACTAAAGAATGAATTTTAAATGGACCTCTTGGTAGGCCTGCTATACAAGATTTCATTGGCATTACAACATGGTTCTAAAATCATCTTAAAATGCTCATTGCCAAAGTATACATTTATTGCCCACATTTATCAAGAGTCAGCAGCTTCCTCCTGACAGTAAGCACAGATAGCAACAGGTTTGGGTCTGGGTTTGTCCTGAAAAAAGGGTCTCTAGGGCTGTGGAAGCAGCGTGCGAGTGGTCTTCTGAGGGCGGGACCAAAGTGAGCATTCCTTGAGCATTGCTCCATGCCATTCTTATTTTCCCCAGTGCCCTAGAGCAACACTACATCATAGGAATTGCAGGGAATTGAAAAGGCATATAGAGAAAGCTGCACCAAGCTTGGGGGAAAAAATTAAAGGGGGTCATGGCCCGTCTAAGTGATGGGCCCTGTCAGGGCTCTGGAGGCCCATCAGCTGCCCAAAGATGCCAGGTGCTGATGGTTGAATCTGGGTGTCTATTACAGCAGCAGAAAAGTGTCATGTTAAATCAATGACTGCAGCAAGACAAATGCCTGTGCTAATGCTAAGCCATGCTCACAAAGATGCTCTTTCGGATATTTGTAAGGGTTACAAGAGTCACACAAAGGTACAAAGGCCAATTTGCTGGATGTATTCAAAATCAAATTTCAGAACAAAACCCAAACGAACCTCAAATCCTCCAGTACTTTTATTTTAAGAACTTTTGTTACTTCTTTTTAATGTCTCATAATGATCACAGTAATTTATTAATAAGGGTCGGGCTTTCACTTTTTAGAGCAAAAACAAAACAAATATGTCTTCACTGTCTACAGCTAGTATTTGATTGCTTGTTTGTAACAATAGTTATAATTGCATATGCTTTGTAAAATGTCTCTTTCTAAGCGCCCATTCAGATCTTCTCAGGGGAAGAAAAATAAATTTGAGCAAGGAGCTATAGAACTTGCAGAGGAACAAATTCTATGACAGTGTGCAACTATGAAACAATAGCTTTCTATCCTGAGATGGTGCATTTGATCTTTAAAAACAAACACTTCTATGGGATGGAACATTAGAAGGAAGGTACACTCTCTAGTCTGAAAAGCTGCTTCACAAAGTGTTCTAGTGACTCATTTATTTAGGAAGAAATTCAGCTCTGCACATGTGCAAAGGTAATCTCTGTATAGTTAGCATGTCCTAGAGCTGAGCCTTGGTGCAGAAAATAATTGCTACACTGCTTTTTTGAATCTGTAGTGCACAATCATCCCTCTACCTCCATGGGCAGCATCTGTGTTGCCCATTTCTTACTGAATTAACTACAAGGAAATATACTTTAAATAATTTGCCCCACATGATGTCCACATGAGGACTGAAAAGATTAATCCAACATCAGTTTTAACTGTATCATTCTCTGTAGATAGCACTGGTTGCCAGTTGGTTACTTGTAAGATGGAATAGACTTACAGTTACATAGACTTCCAAGGGGTAGATAAAACTGGAACTTAGATCCACTGAGATACAACTTCATGCCATATTCAGTTTTCCTAAGTGGTAAATCTAGGAAGGGTGTTGCTCTTGACAGCTGCAG